TGTGTGTGTGTGTGTGTGTGTGCGTCGTGTGTGTTCAAGGATCTCATTGACGCTGTAAAGTATTATAGACCCACGTCTTTCTTAACTGTCTTTTTAGCATTGTTGGATTTTGTGTCACACGCGCAGAGCTGGGTGGTGTTGGTGTAAACAGGTAGACCTATGGTGCCTACTCTAGGTTATTTTATGTAGTAAAATTGTAGGCAGATCGCCCTCATTCTTGTGAACAGCACATAATAAGAACTGAAACCGTATCGCAATTTCTCTTCATTATTATTCAAGTCACTTTCTAGCATTGCCATGCACATCCATTCCTCCCTGGTCGCACTGTTAGCATAACTAATACATTTGCATCATGCTAGACCGCAGTATTTTTAATGTAATTTTTTACGCCCCTATCGACACAATTTAGATCATCCAGGACAGGAGGTGGGCTTCCTACCGCACGTATCAGCGCCAACCCAGACTGAGAGGAATACATTTCCATACGGGAATCGAACTCGGGTCTCCTGTATGCGACATCAATGCGCCTAACCGCTACACCACAGGCGCCGGTTGGACTGCAGTGTGTGTGACCGCCAGTGACCCTGGTTCATCCTGAAATGTGTGCTAACCCAGCACTGACTCTAACCCTAACATCGTGGCATGTACATAATAAATATGGTGATTAACTGTACCAAGCGTACTTGTCACAACTTGCCAGAGTGGTGGGCGGGAAACAATAACCACCAAAATCCCTTGAGACCAAACTATTGATTTAGCCGATGTTTTCTGTGAATACAACCCGGCAGCACGTGGCCAGGACATCTGCCAGATTCCCATGTCCAACAGTGATTGAGTTCGATCTCTGAAGCCAGACCAGATCCCCCAGCCCTCGGGAAAATAGTCACGGACTAAGGCAGGAAGTAAGGTAGGAGAGGCCCTATAGTGTCCGCACCGCGGTGGGTATTTTAACTAGTGACATTATTGAATAGACACAGAGGGTTTCAGCCTCCCTTTCACGACAATCGAAATGAGTGCACACGCCCCCTTTGTGGACCAATGCCATGTTTGAACTTGATCAGGAGAAGAAGGCAGTTTTGTGGTGGTGGTGGTTGTTGATGTTGTTCAGAAGAAAAATAAATAGCACGAATACACACAGACACACTCACAGACACACACACACACACACAGACACACACACACACACACACACACACACACACAGATATATATATATATATATATCTATCTATCTATCTATCTATCTATCTATCTATATATATATATATATAAGGCACAAGGGAAAAAACGGCGATGTCAGGTTTTTACAATTCCGAGATAACTGAAAGCCAAACTTTAAAGACGTGTAACTCTTTTTCTGCTACAGTGATCTCTCAACTGTTTACACTAATTTCAAGTAAGACCATTTGCGTTGAAAATTTCACAGTCGTCATGTTAAGGATATTTCGGTGAGAGCAAAATAGAAAAATTATGTAGCAAACTGATAGCGGTGGTTTTTCCCTTGTAAACTGTTAGCAAGGTCTCCATCTTCTAGGAAGTTAACGAACTGTGAGTTACCTTGCCTACACCGTTTTGTAATATTTATTACGTTTATTTCTATCATTTTTGGATGACGACTCTGAGTCATCAGACTCTTGTGTGGCACTTGGTCCTCCAGCATTCAGAGAAAAGCTGTTTGGCCAAAACACCTTTAAGAATTTTGTATGTGCATATCTGGCAGCTTTGATGGTCAGCAGGCTCTACTTATAGAGGGGTTTCAGGGGCCGGAGTGTTGCATTGCTCCACCCAACTGGCTGGCACATCTACAGTGACCTTCTCATTTACCACTTCCATGTCTCTGTCACATTCCATGTAGTTGTGACCTTTCATTGGAAACGAGATATTCACTTGTTCGTACCTTTCCTGGTG